CGCCGGCACTAGCCCGGAGAGCTAGTAGAGGATGAGCTAGCATCTTCCGGTCCCTCCGGCCTCGTAGGAAATTGGGAACTGGAGAGACGCCGTTCATTCTGCGTCGGGAAGTGAGCGTGTCTTACGCTCCGCCACCAATGAGGAGATTTGGTAGTCGGCTTAGAGTGGCAACAGTCGTGCGGAGCGCGACTGGAAGCAAGCGTGACGGGAAGTGAGCGTGCTTACAGCTCCGGTACCTTACTGGAAAATAGGGAGGGTGCTGTACGTGCACCCGGGGCGGCTCACCCGAGGCAACCGCCTTACAGAGAACCAGATAAAGTACGTGCAAACGTGCTGATCCGGGGTTAGGACCTGACTTAGATAGTCCCGTGCGAGCTCGCTTACAAACAAAACTTACGTAGAATGACATGGGACTGTGCCATCTCAGTGTGAGCGTGCCGGCGGCTCCGCCATCAAACCGGAAATTTAACAATAATAATAACGCACACACTCAGCACTAGGGAAACCCTGTGTCGCGGGTGCCATGGTCACGCATATAGACAAACACAAACTACACCCAAACTCACGAGAGAAATAAATGTGGGCCCTACAAATATTTCTCCCGACCCGGGAGTCGAACCTGGGATCTCTGCGTGGCAGGCAGGCATGGTAATGAACTCCCCATCGAGGTTTTCCATCAAGCTGGCTTGTTTGCTGCCTACACGTACTAATATTATTTAAAAAAAGGACTTGACTGATAAAATAATAGTGCCCGTTCCGTGTAAACAAGAGGTTGATAGGGTGGGGCACTATAGTCAAAACTTAGTAGATTAGATATGGGACTGACCCACTACGGCTCTTTATTTGTTACGTGCTAGTTAATTGCCGTTAAATTGACCTCTGTCCTTTTTATTTAGTTAAATGTAATAAGCATTCTTAATCAATAAACAAAGCAATTACAGAACAATTTCATACTATTTTTCTAAGAAAGAACCCGTTTTCGTTGATGTTGCTGGTAATTAACCATGCTTTCTTTTGAATTTATATTCTTTTTACTTTCACTATGTGGCAAAAATTTGTGAATTTTTAATCTGTCCAATTTCGAAAATTTACTTTCTCCCATTTTTTAACGACATATTAACCATTTTTTTTTTATTGAATACCATAATTAATTACTACTACAGATTTATTTTCTATATATTTTGGATTTGAATTCTGTACAAAGAAAAGTTAAAGGAGGCTGATATGATGACTGTGACATCACAATTTTACTCAAATATTTTGTATGCCCGTAAAAATATCGATACCTCACACGTAAATTGTTGTAAGTCAAAATACCGTTTTCACTTCTCATACTCTTAAAGTTCGTATTATCATATATAATATATATAAGTGTCGTATTATGCTGGGTGTTGGCTGCATAAAATAGGATTTTATGCTCTAGTGCATAAAATAAAAAACCATCACATTAAATATGTCTAATTGTTGTAATTTTACACTCAATTTTAATTAAATAATCGTTTATCTGTAATGTAAAAGAAGTGTACAGCAGAGTTTTATGAACTTGTTGTACAATCTACTATTTTATGAACCGGCTTCAAAAAAAGGAGTTTTTTTTGTATGTACATATGTTACGCGATAACTCCGGTATTTGTAAACCGATTTTCATGATTCTTCTTTTGTTGAAAAGGGGGTACTTCCATAGTGGTCCCATTTCATTTTGAAGAAAATCATCCACCTCTAGGGGTGACTGATCACGTATGAACATTCATTTTTATAAATAGCGCCAAAATTTTACTTATGGAGCAATTATTTTAGTGGTTGGTTTTGTTATTCTCCAATTTAAGGCGTTTTTCTCTCTCAATATACTTTGAGTAGTGAGAACCGGTTTTTATTATCTCCTGTGTCAAGTCCTGTATAGTGGCGAACTAGGGGATATTCCAATAAAACTTGGCAAATAGATGTAATTCCACGTACATTTGAGGTTGGTTTTTTTAGTACTCTGTACTGAGATTATTTGCGTTTTAACCTAAACATATATTATTATACACATAGAAAAGAGTATATTTAAGTCATTGACCTTAAGTAAAAAAGCAAAAAATGCTATTTTGACTTAAAACACCTTATGTGACGTATCGATGTACGTAATTTCATTATGAAAGAAGATGCACACAATATTAACCAACTGAATCTATAGTGATGGTACCGCGATTATGGGGAACCATATATGTTTTTAGATTAAGAGTCGAATTCAATTTTTTCCCGCATTAATACGGTTTATTTTGCTTGGATCGAAAATGTATATCGTATAGGGGAACGTGGGGTATTGGGAGCCCGCGGGTAATGAGAGCGGTGTTAAACTGGACGTTCGCAATGCTCGTATTTGTGCAAACGGCACTCCTAAGTCTTCGTTAACGTTCGCCAAGGTTCGAATCCTGTGGGTGACCCCGTAGAACCCTGCATTTAGTCGTATGAGATGGTTGTGTGTTTTTCGCTCCGCGCTTATAAAATTTGCCAAATTTCATAATTCCAGGTAAGCATTAAAATGCATAGACTTTATATTATTTACTTTTTATTACTATTTACTATTATTATGACTTTTTATTATTATTTATATATTTACAGTAGCTATGTCACCATATCTATCAAATTTTAGATGTTTTGCTTGAAATCACAATAAAAATAGAAATGTTTTTACTGTTTTATTTCTTTTTCAATTCGATGTTACGCGGGTAATGAGAGCTATTTGGCTCTCTTTATCTCATTGCAATATTCACTGGATAATCCTTTAACACTGGCTTGTTTATTCTCATTACTTTTTAACTTATATATTTTATTAGTTTAATTTTTTTTCAGACTGATTATATATAATGGCTCTTATTTGACATACGGGATTCTTACCGGCTCCCATTTCCCGAACTGTGGGGTAATGGTAGCGAATGACATGTTTTAGGTTTTTCTTCTTAACCAAATATTATATTTTAATTTCACATTTTTTCTGTGATTATCTAGTACCCCGATATGTGAAGCGTACGTTCATAACTAACAAAAATTTAAATTGCATAAATTATGACATTTATTATCAATTTTCCTTAGTAGGCTCCCATTCCCCCACGCTCCCCTACTATACGTGTTCTGTTCACTTCAGTTGATATTAAAAACAAATAATTGGTATATGTAAAGTAGCTATTTAATAAAACGGTTTTCTTGTAAAATTTCGAGTTAAGTTTTATTTCTATCTATTCGTGAAAATTTTTAGAAATCGTGTTTTGACACCGTAATCAGCGTATGTCCTCCTTTTTTTTTGTATGTATGTTATGCGATAACTATGGCCTACTATATATAACTCCGTAACATTTGTGAACCGATTTTAATGATTCTTTTTTGTTGGAAAACGGGTACCTCAGCGGTGGTCCCGATTAAATTTGAATAGAATAGAATAGAAAACGTTTATTTGCCAGAATACAGTAATTACAAAGGTCTTAAGTAAAATTAGGTACATTGTATTCAACCTGCAAGCAGATGTGCAAATATTAATGGGATTCAATGTTTCTTTAGTCTCTATAGTTTCTAATTAATGTAATGAATTTGTAAATTCTAAGTATTCTTTATTACTATAGAAGCAATGTGTCAAAAGCCATTTTGTCAATTTTAATTTAAAAGTATGTCCTTGTAACAATTTAATTTCGTTTGGTAATTTGTTGTAAATAATTATACACATGTTAAAGCAGTTATTCTTATAAATTACTTTATGACAACGAGGTTGGTATAAGAGATTCATAATTTTTGCTCTAGTTTGCCTTTGACTGACTGCACCGCGTGTTTTAAAATATTGAGGATGAGAGTTGACAAATACGCAGATATCCCTAATGTACATGCATGGCAAAGGTAATATGTTCAGCCTTTTAAACAGCGGTTTGCAACTGTCATCGAACCACGCACCGCATATTGCTCGAATACACTTCTTCTGGACTTTAAACGCTCTTTCTAAGATTTAAGAACAAAACATTCCACATCTAAGGCTGGCAAACTAGGGGTTGAATGACTTTTGTGGTCGGTTTTTTTAGTACTCTGTACTGAAATTGATTTAACACTTTCACTTTTATGCGGAATCAACCAAAGCCTAAGGTATGTCATCTTCATTAAGAACTTCGACGATAAATATCGCATGATTGAGAGGTTATCAAACCCAGACCAATTAACTAGTACACCACTAACACAATAAATAACTGACATAAGATATTAGATATAGCATTTTAGAAACACATTATTAATAAACTTTTAATCAGAAAAACTAAATTCGATGGTAATTTTTATTATTTAAACATTTAGCCACATCTTCAGGTCGTCAACCCCATAAAGCGTGAAAAATAAGGCATTTAACAAGTCACAAATAATAATTATCCGTTAATTGATTTTCAAATGATTTTTTGACTTTG